TGGAGTCTGTTAAGTGTGCAATAGCATCAGGTCTAAAAAAACAACGTGCATACCTTATTTTTAAAAATACTTTGCCTAGGTCTGTGGCCAAGGCAGGAGTGCCATAAGATGTTGGAGATGTTAGATTGGAACCTAGAGCAGGCTAGCTGCTACATGCTAGATTCTGGTGGTCCCATCCACCATAACTGCTGATGACAGTTCTGGGGGAGCCTGAGAGTCTGACTTAAGGGGTGGGGGATTCTGTTAGTCTGCCTGAAGGATTGTTTGAGCCTGTCCTGCACAGCAGGGGCCAGGGAGGGCCCTGGGGAAACCTGCTGCTACTACCTTCTTCCCCCATCACTCCACTTCTTCAGATAGGCAGAGAGGAGCTAGAAGGAGCAAGGAGACCTGGAGGGGACGACCATCCTTCCACAGTGCTAGCTCTAGTCCTCCATCCATCTGCTTCTCCCTTGGCCATTCCAGAGGGACAACAGAGGGGGAACATCAAGGAAGGGGGTGAGGAGGCATGCAGAGCTGGTCTGAGGGAGAGCAAAAGACAGTTCCAGGCACAAGTGCCCCCCCTTCCCCTGGCCCTTTCAGTTTTTATCAGTTGTGATGCCTCACTTCCCTTTAGGGTCCAGATTATGGGGAAAACCCCAAGCCTGTCTGCTTGTCTCTCTGGCATTTCCTGTTCCTACAGAAGCTGAAGGAAGGCGTCGGTGGGGGCTGTGAGGGCAGGAGTGAGAACCCAATGCTTTGGTCACCTCAGTGGAGCCTGCTAGCTTCCCAGCAGGTGTGTTGCCATGAGTCAGGCTTGATTGTTATGGGGGAGAGAGCACTTAGGATACAGATTGCTGTCGATTCTGTTCCTGTGGTTGGGGTAACTGGGGTGAGGGCGACTGTCACCTAAGGTCAAGAATTTCAGGATGTTGAAGGCAGGGAGGGTGCAAGCCCAGTTCCAGGGTGGGGATAGAACCCCAGGATGTGCAAAAAGGAACAGATACTGGCAGCTGACATGGAGACCAGTGCTCCCTACCCCTGCTCACTTCTGTTTTGTTTTTCCCCAACAACCTCTGTTGCCAAAGTTGCTGCTCTTGTCCAACCTCCACATATCTGCTTCTTCCAGAGAAATAAAGTTAGTTTCTATTTTACATTAAAAAAAAGAAAAACTTAGCTACTTTTATGAAAGAAAAATGCTCTCCACCTTCAGAGTCAGCTGATGAATTTTGAATGCAGATTGAAATACGCTTCTTTTTTAAGCTTTCTTTATTTTTAGAACTTTATTTTGTTTTGTTTTGCAACATGGCTAATATGGAAGTATGTTTTATATGACCTCACATGTTTAATCAAAACCAGTTTCTTCTCAAGGAGGGAGCATGAGGGAAGGAGGGAGGGAATTTGAAATTCAAAAGTTTAGACAGTGATTATTTTTAAAAATCTTACATGTGTTTGGGAAATATTTAATGAAATAATTTAAAAATACTTTATTGCTAAAAATGCTCACCTTCATCTGAGCTTTCAGTGACTCGTAATCTTTTCTTTGTGGAGGGTCTTGCCTCAATGCAAATGGTTGCTGACTGATTAGGGTGGTGGTTGCTGAAGGTTGGGTTGGCTATGGCATTTTCTTAAAATAAGACAACAGTGAAATTTGCCCCATCAATTGACTTTCTCTTTCATGAACAATTCTCTGTAGCATATGATGCTGTTTAATAGCATTTACCCAAAGTAGAACTTATTTAAAAATTGGAGGCAGTCCTCTCAAAACCTGCCACTGTTTATGTAATATTCTTCAATATTGTTGTGTCTCAGAGAATAGGGAGGTCTGAGAGAGGGAGAAAGACCAGGCAGTGGCCAGTTGGGGAGCAGTCAAAACAAATGCAACAATTATTAAGTTTGCCATCTTTTATGGGTGCGATTAGTGGTGCCCCAAAACAATTACAATAATAACAGCAAAGATCAGTAATCGCAGATCACAAGTCATAGATAAAATGATAATGAAAAAGTTTGAAACATGAGAATTACCAAAATGTGACACAGAAACGCGGATGTGAGTACATGCTGTTGGAAAAATGGTGCCAATAGACCTGTTTGACACAGGGTTGCCACAAAACTTTAATCTGAAAAAAACAAACTAAATAACACAGTATCTTCAAATCACAATAAAATGAGGTATGCCTGTAAAAGATACATAACATTATTCATATACTGAGAGCTTGGTTTAATAATTAAAAACAAAACTACCTGAATCAGAAGAACTGGATCCAGACTGCCACTAACAGTGTGCATAGGCAAATTCATTTATTCTGTCTTAGTTTCAGAAGTCTTATCTCAAAAATAAGGAGGACTAGTCAGTTTATCTTTGAAGTCCCTTTCACACTTTTTATGCAGTATGATTATTATAAGTGTCAATTAGCTTATCTGTAATAAAGTGGTGTCCCTAAGGTCAATTGATGTTATAGTGCTATTTTCCTTTATATTGCACAATTACCCTTCTCACCACTTACTTTTTTATACTTTTGCCTGCTTTTTAATAATCCTTTTGATTGATTTTTGTCAAGTCTCATATTTTGGCTACTTTCACAACCTGCCTCATACCATCCCACCTTTTCTAATTTTCTACTTTTAATCTTCTATGATCATGGGGAGGCTATGTAACCATGCATACTAGATTTCTATAAGATAGGAGTAAACACGTTCTGAGTAAGCCATTAAGGGTCCAGGTATGTAAATCTTCATGAGATTTATAGACCTCTTTTTTCATTATTTCCTGGTTCTGATTCTGTTTGGATATTTGAGTTTATTTCCAGGAAAGTGAATTTGTTAGCTTTATCTAAAAATATTTATTGAATATATTTTATGGTATATATTATCCTAAATCTGTTTTTCTATCAGTATTTAAATAGAAATCACACTTGAAAATCTCTTTCCTTTAAGGAACGAAAAAAAGGGGAAGGCTGAGTCAAAATCAGCTGTTAACTATGACTTTTTTTAATTTGAAGATTGAAAAAAGACAAATTTAACATCTGTCTTATTTTTTTTTTCAATTTCATTTTTTAGATTGTCGCCTGAACGTTGTGATAATGTGACAATTAGGATGCAATCATGTCTACTCTCTGTCCACCACCATCTCCAGCCGTTGCCAAAACTGAGATTGCTTTAAGTGGTGATTCACCCTTACTAGCAGCTACTTTTGCATACTGGGACAACATTCTTGGCCCTAGAGTAAGGCACATTTGGGCTCCCAAGATACAGCAGCTGCTTCTCAGTGATGGAGAAATAACTTTTCTTGCTAACCATACTCTAAATGGAGAAATCCTTCGGAATGCAGAGAGTGGAGCCATAGATGTGAAGTTTTTTGTGTTGTCTGAAAAAGGAGTAATTATTGTTTCATTAATCTTTGATGGAAACTGGAATGGCGATAGGAGTACATATGGACTGTCAATAATACTTCCACAAACTGAACTCAGTTTCTACCTTCCTCTTCACAGAGTGTGTGTTGATAGATTAACACACATCATCCGGAAGGGAAGGATATGGATGCATAAGGTGAGTAGGTTTTGAGTCCAGCATTTTATTTACCTTAGTATTATATTATGTTTGGTCTTGACCAATGGATTCAATTTTGTGATTCCCTCTATCCATGCCGATCAGCACTTGCTTTGTTTTTTTAGTCTTAGTTGCCTAAATCACTGAGAGATTAAGTAAGTTGCCCAGGGTTCAGTAGCTACTACTTGAGTGCAGGAGTCCTGACTCCAAGTAATCCTAGCCCACTGCAGGATTGCTTAAAAGAAATAAGGGGGCTGCTAGGTAGCCAATGGATAGAGCAGTGGCCCTGGATTCAGGAGGACCTGAGTTCAAATCTGGCCTCAGACGCATAACATTCATTAGTTGTGTGACCCTGGGCAAGTCACTTAACCCCATTGCCTAGCCAAAACAAAAAAAAACAAACAAGAAATGTCAGTGTTTCATAAATAATAACAGAATAGGTTTAAAGGATGAAAATAGAACCAGATATGCTTTCTTCAAGGGAAGAATTTTGGAAACAGAAAAGTTCTTAAATGAGATAAGAGGAACAAAAAAAGATAATAATTTTAATACTATTAAAGTCAGTTGGACCTTTTGTAATCCTAAACTACCAAATGCTAGTTTAGACATTTCATGTTAGATCATTCATATTATACTCTACTATTACACCTAGCTTTTTAGTATTCCATCTTTGTTTTATACAAAGATGTTTCCTCAAAATATCCTCATGTTTTACCTACTCTACACCTGCTGTAATCTTACTTAACTTGGTTGAAATATTTTTCTTTGTCATTATGATAGTACTTATGTTTATCATTATTTAGAATTCTTTGTCATTATGAAAATATAGTGCCCAATTGAACACTATTTGATAGCTAAGTAGAAAGATAGTTATTCTCAGCACTTCAAAAGATAGTTTTAATTAGTGGCTTGGTGGGGAAAAGAAATTGCATCTGAATTTGGAGTTTAGAATAAAATATTAAACTGTTTCTGTAATTTAGAAAAGTATCATCCCCTAAGTGGCATATTTTTGCTATTTTTCACTTCCTCACTAAGCTATTGAAAGTCCATTGAAAGTTTTATTTTTCTATTATATCTGGGTTTCATTTTTTGACCACTTTTTTGAAAGATTGGACAATTTTGAAACTCATTTCTTCTCATCTGGGGTGGAAACCTATTCATGTCAAAACATTAATCCTGTTTCCAGGAGTTCTGAACATTATAAAAACTGAACTTATGTTTATAATCTATAGGAGTTTTAAAATAGGTTCCCTTTTTTGATTACTGGCTTTTATTATGTCTCCTTTTTATAAAAGAATGTACATGCATATATACATGTGTTAAATTCACTTAAATTTAAACAATAGACAGAAATTAACTGGCATTTCCTTTTGAATATATTTAACACTTTGTGGTTTGAATGGTGTTAGGCTTCATACTCCCTTTAGAAGATATTCTGCTTTTGTGAGACTCTGGAAATCTTTAAGGAATGAATGATGAATGAAAAAGCATTTATTAAACACTTATGTACATAGCATGATGCAAAGTCCTGTGGATATAGTAGAAAAGCAAGACAGTCTCTGCTGTCAGGGAGCTCATTCCAACGGGAGGTGACATACAGGAAGTTTCATCTGAAAGACAGATGGAAAAATCGCATGGTCATTATAGTGCAGTATCAAAGCAAGTGCTAATATATTTTCTTTAACGTATTATTTCCATAGTTAAAGCCATATACATTTCTGATAATGAACCATTTGACAATGGTAAGGACTTTGGTATTAAGAATATTCAAGGTCCTTAATGTCTCCATTAGGTCTGAGAAGGCAGTTGATGGTGCCAGTGAATTGGCTGTCCTGGTACGTGCTGCCTACTGCTCCAAAAGCGTGATTTGTTATTTCAGCTAGGCTGGCTTATCTGTCCTGTAAGTGGAATTGGCTGGAAGTTGGTAGGTCCATTCTCTGTCAGGGTTGCTCCCTTGGATAATGTATAGAGGGCAAATGGCACACCTTCGTTCTCATGAATTTATTCATCTTATTCAACATATTCAAATGTTGCATAATTCATAGGGGCAGCTAGGAGGCACAGTGACTAGAGCACCAGCCCTGAAGTCAGGAGGACCTGAGTTCAAACACGGCCTCAGACCAAACAGTTGACACTGACTAGCTGTGTGACCCTGGGCAAGTCACTTAACCTCAATTGCCTTAAAGAAAAAAACAAATGTTGCTTTATTCTAAACACTGCACTCCTGCATTGTTGTCTTCTAAAATCAGTAAGGGCTCTTTTTTCTACACATTTTACTCATTATGTAGCTTAGTAGTAGTGTTGTTTCTCATTTTATGGTTTAGTAGTAGTAATAAAGTCTTTTTTAAAAAAAATTAAAATTCTGTGTTTGTACTTTTTCCTGATATGTTGCTTTTTAGTTGTAGCATGCAATACCTCATGATGGAGTGCTATGGTATTATTTTCTACTTGTTTTCATAAGCTGTGAAAGGATATTCTTGAATAAGCATTACCTTTTAAAAAAAAATGGAACTCAAATAAAAGCAGCTTGTTTGGAAATTCTGTCTTCTTGAGAGCGTGCCTAGAGCCAAAGCTTTACCTGGGAATAAAAGCATTTCCATACTAGTTCTGACCCACAGTTCATCTAACTCAGTTTTCTGTAATTACATGATCCCAAGAAATGTGCTATGGGAGAGTTATCCATTCTTGCACTAACGTTAAAAAAAAAAGCTATATACTTATATTTTTTAGTAATCATTTAATCAGATCTCTCTAAAATATATTTGTTTTTCTCGGTAGTAACATCTCTTCATTTAGTCGTGACCTGTGATTTTATTGCTGTAGAGAATTCCCAGTGAGGAAATTCCTTCTGTAACTATGAGAGTTGCCTACAACACTGTTAGGTTCTACGTGACCAGTAAAACAGGAAAAGACATAGGTCATAATAAACCACAACCCTGGCCTTACTAATTCTTTTTTTTCCCTTTTTTTTTTTGGTGAGACAGTTGGGGTTAAGTGACTTGCCCAGGGTCACACAGCTAGTAAATGTCAAGTGTCTGAGGTCATATTTGTACTCAGGTCCTCCTGACTCCAGGGCCACTGCTCTATCCACTGCGCCACCTACCTGCACCTTCCTGACTAATTCTAAGACCCACTCTCCATTTATCTGAGTTTAGCTACTCCTTACTAGGGATTATTAACCTGGATCCCATGAACTTTTTCTTTTTAAAACCGTATTTCCATATAATTGACTTCTCTTCCAATCCTATATATTTTATTTTTTATAATTTGTTTTAGTTTTCAACATTCACTTGCAATCCTATATATTTTAATCATTTGAAAACATTCTGAGTAGGATTCATGCCCCCTCCTCTCCAAATGGTAAGACTCCCATTTTAGAGTAATGAAATCTGTGTTTATTACTTATTTTGTAAATAGGGCTTGCTTTGTTAATAGGATATGTAGGGGGCAGAGATGAACCTCAGTAATCTCAAATGGAGTAAAACAGTATTCAGGGGGTTTCTTTGGAATGTGGTAACAGAATGTTATTTAGAGCAGATGAGCATAAGTATTTAGAAATCATTGCAACAGATGGATTGTGCAATGTTGGGAAAGACCACTGGTCTGAAATAGAAAACTTTTGTTAAATAGCAATGAAACTTGGTCCTCAATTTCCTCATCTATAAAAATTAATGAGTTAGAGTAGATTATATCTAAAGTGATTTCAAACTCTAAATTTTCTTAATAGTTCAGCTTAAAGTTTAAAGTAGTATGTTGCTTATAACTTGATGATAATTTGTAGTCAGTGAGGAAAAAACAACTCAACTTTTATTTTTCTTCAGCATATGATGAGGTAAAAAATAACAAAGGTATATCCCCAACCTTTAATTTCTTGAAAGTGTTTTGATTCAGATCTGTAAAGGAAAAAACAATTTTCCCTTTGTTTTGGAAGCATCCAACTGTATTCCTTATTCAGTCATTCTGCAGGCTTAGTTTTAGGAATTCTAATAACATTTTGCTTCCACTCAGTTTGGTTTAATTGGTACTGAAGAATAACTGTTTTATTTTGTTTTTACAGCAGATAACTATACTGAGTAATATTTTAGGATCATAAGAATTAAGGATATAAATATCTACATCCCAACAACTTCTTTCTGGTCTTTTGAGATCTAAGTCAAATCCCATTTTCCTTATCTCTCTCTTCTCTGAACTTTTTTTACACCTAGAGAAGCATCAGTTTTCATATTCAGGGAGTAATTTTTGCATGTCACAAAAATTAAATGTTAGCTCAGACACAAAATTTTCCTTACATTAAGCAATTAGCATTTATTTTCTGGTATTGTAAGCACTCTTTTATGTATATGTATTTTAATCTTCCACTCAAATTATAAGCTGCTTGAGGGCTGGACCATGCATTATACTTATTTGTATCACCCACAGCATCTCTTAGATGACTTTCAGATAGTAAACACTTGGCAAATATTTGTTAAAATAATGATTGACTACTTAAAATTTTTTTGATTATTGATAGCCCACTATCCTTAGTGTCATTCAACAAGCTTCTATTAAGTAGTCGATCAGCTAGCATTTCTCAAATACCTACTATATGCCAGGCACTATGTTAAGCCTAGGGATCTGAAGGAAGGAAGGAAATTAGCATGTATTAAGCACCTACTACGGGCCAGATACCATGCTAAATGCTTTACAAATATTTATTTTAAACTTCACAGAAATACTGAAACGTAGTGCTATTATTGCCTCCATTTTACATTTGGAGAAACTGAGGCAGAAAGAAGTGATTTGTCCAGGGTCACATGATGAATATCTGAAGCTTGGTTTAAACTCAGGTATTCCTAACTCCACATCTAGCACCCTATCTAATTGGCCACTTAGAAAACAGTCCTTGCTGTCAAGTAGTTCACAGTCTAATAGGGGGAACAAGGTGGGGGGAAAAAGCTTTATGTATAAACAAGGTATATTCAGGATAAGTTGGGGGTAATCTCAGAGGGAAGGCACTAAGATTAAATAGTAATAGGAAAGTCTTCTTGCAGAGCATGAGACTTAGCTGAGACTTGAAGAAAGCTAGGAAAGCTGGGAGGTGAAGATGAGGAGGCAGTGCATTCTAGTCATAAGAGACAGCCAGTAAAAGCTGAATGATAGAGTATCCTAATATGTGGGGAACAGCAAGGAGGCAAATATCACTGGTGGTTGTGAAGCTTTTTAGATGCCAAATAAAAATTTTATTTTTAATTCTCGAGATAATAGGAAACACTAGAGTTTACTGAGGGAGGGAAGATGACATGGTCACACCTGCAGTTTGGGAAAATCATTGTGGCAACTAAGCTGGGATTGGAGTAGAGAGAGACCTGGAGGGGAAATAGGAAGAAAGAGACAGTGTCAGTAAATATTTATTAAGTTCCTATGTGCCAGTCAGCTAGGTGGCACAGTGGCTAGCGATCTTGGCTTGCAATCAGGAAGACTCACCTTCATGAGTACAAATTTGGCCTCAGATATTTACTAGTTATGTGACCCTGGACAAGTCACTTAATCCTGTTTGCTTAAGTTCCTCTTCTGTAAAAAAAGAGCTGGAGAAGGAAATGGAAAACCACTCCAGTGTCTCTGCCCCCAAATAGGATCACAAAAAGTCAGACACAGCTGAAACAACTGAACAACAACAGATGTGCCAGGTACTGCTAGGCACCGGGAATACAGTGTTTCTGATGATAATGAAATCCAAGGAAGCAGTTGGGTGGGAGGTGATGGGAATTCCTGGGGTGCCATCCTTAAATATGGATGACATAGAGGCTTTGAGGAGCTCTTCAGTGTTCATCCTCCACCCTCTCCAATGTGAGAGAGAGAAGGACCCCAAGGGCAGGAAATACTGAGGAGGCATGAGTTTCCAAGCTGATTTTATCTTGGCAGAATGAGAGAGAGGAAAAAGAGAGGGAAAGGGAGGGAGGATCAGTCTGTTTGAAAAAAAGAAAAGAATGGGTACAAGGATGCATTCAGAGGAATTTGCATATATGAGAAGAAAGACCACCTTCATGTGAGGGGAGGTGATAATGGAAAAAATAACCGAGTGAGATTTGATGAGGAAGGGAAAAGAGAGAGCTCTTAGCAAATGGCCTCTTTTTTTTCTGGTCAAGAATATAGTGAAAACATTCTTAATTGAGAGGGTAGAGGACAGGGTGCAGAGGGAAGCTTGAGGGACCATGAGAATGTTTAGAAAACCTGCTATAGCGAGTGAGATTGCAAATTGACTAGGAAGAAATATAAATTACTTTGCTACATTGAAGACCAAGGTGAAATTAGATAACATAAATTTGTAATGTACTAGACAGTAGGATTTTGTAATATTCTCCAGCTCCATCTTAGCAGCACATTAAGAGCAATGGAAGTAGATTGTGAGAGTAATCATTCGGCAAGGCATGATTAGTTTTAAAGTTGTAAGAGGTTTGAATGCAGAGGGTAGTGTGGAATTGAACATAGGGTCAGGATAGGGAAGGGAGGACAGTGTAGCCAGTTCAAGGGTGATGGCTGGTGAAAACTGGGAGACTGGAAGGATTGGAGGTTACAGTGAGGTTGAATAGGGTTGGAGGTCATAAGGCATAGGGAAAGATGGAATGACTAAAGATTATCATGAAATAAAAGAGTCCCAGAGTTCATGAACGTGGAAAGGGAACACTTATGGGTAGTGACAAGTTCAAGGGTTTCACTGCCTGTGTGCAGCTTGAGTTAAGAGTGGAGGAGGAGGAGGAAGGAAATAATGGGAATTTAGTAGATTCAAGAACTTGGAAGTTAAGGAATTTAACAGCATCAACAATATATACATTTAAGGCCCCTAGTCTGAGGGCAGGAATTAAAGTCAGAGGAGGACTGGGAGCCCAGCAGACACTGACCTCACTGAGGGATGAAGGAAGGAGAATGTCCTGGGGTGTCGATAGATAATACCCTCCAGAATCTAGATTTGTTGTTATTGCTCAGTCATGTTCGACTCTTCATGACCTTGTGGACTGTAGCACACCAGGCCCTTCTATCCTCCACTATATTGAAGTCTGTCCAAGCTCATGTTTGTTGCTTCTATGACACCATTAGTCCATTTCATCCTCTGCCATTCCCATCTCTTTTTGCCTTCAGTCTTTCCCAATATCAGGGTCTTTTCTGGTGAGTCCTTCTTACTATGTGGCCAAAGTATTTAAGTCTTACCTTCAGTATTTGACCATCCAGTGAATAGTCTGAATTAATTTCTTTAAGTGTTAACTGATTTGACTTCCTTGCAGTCCAAGGAACTCTCAGAGTCTTCTCCAGCATCATAATTTGAAAGTATCAATTCTGCAGGGCACAACTTTCCTTATAGTCCAGTTCTCACAGACATACATTGCTCCTGGAAAAACCATAGCTTCGGCCATATGGACCTTTGTCAGCAAAGTGATGTTTCTGCTTTTTAGTGTGTTCTGATTTGTCATAGCTTCCCTGCCAAGGAGCAGGCAACTGCAGGAGACTGCAGTCTCTTATTGCAGTCTCCTTCTGCAGTTGTCTTTGAGCCCAAGAATATAAAATCTGACACTGCTTCCATTTCTTTTCTTCCTGTTTGCCAGGACGTGATGGGACCAGTTGCCGTGATTTTATTTATTTTTTTTTTATGTTAAGCTTCAAACCAACTTTTATATTCTCCTCTTTTCCCTCATCAAGAAGCTTCTTAATTCTAGTTCACTTTCTGCCATCAGAGTAGCATTGTCTGCATATCTGAGATTGTTAATATTTCTTTTTTTATTTTTTCCAGTTACATGTAAAGATATTTTTTAGCATTCATTTTTTAAAAAAAAATTTGAGTCCTAATTTTCTCTCTTTCACCAATCCCTTCCTAAAATGGTATAGGTTATGTATGTACAATCCTGTAAAACATTTTCATATTAGTCATGTTATGAAAAAAAAAACAGTCCAAAAGAACCACGAAAAAAATAAAGTGAAAGTAATATGCTTTGATTTGCATTCAGACTCCATCAGTTCATTCTCTGAATGTGGATAGCATTTTCTATCATGAGTCTTCAGGAATTGTGTTACATCATTGTGTTGCTGAGAAGAGCTAAGTTGTTCATAGTTGATCATGGCATAATGTCGCTGATAACTGTGTACAATGTTTTCCTGTTTCTGCTCACTTCACTTTTCATCAGATCCATTTTTCTGAGATCACTCCACTTACTTGTCATTTTTTAAAAATTATTTAATTTTAGTTTTCAACAATCACTTCCATAAACTTTTGAGTTTTTAATTTTCTCCACCTCCCTCCCCAAAATGCCATAGAATCTGATAGAGGCTCTATATATACATTCCTATTAAACATATTTGTAAAGAAGAATTAGAACCCATAGGAGGAACCACAAGAAGGAAGAAGCAAAACAAAACAGAAGGAAAAAAAAAAGAGCAGATAGTATGCTTCAGTCAGCATTCAAACTCCATAGTTCTTTCTCTGGATGTGGATAGCATTTTCCATCATGAGACTTTTAGAGATGTCTTAGATCCTTGCATTGCTAAGAAGAACTAAGTTTATCAAAGTTAGTCATCGCACCGTGTAGCTGTTACTGTGTACAGTGTTCTCCTGGTTCTGCTCACTTCACTCAACATCAGTCCATACAAGTCTTTCCAGGGTTTTCTGAAGTCTACCTGCTCATCATTTTTTATAGCACAATAATATTCCATTACATTCGTATATCACAACTTGTTCAGCCATTCCCCAATTGATGGGCGGGATGCCTCAATTTCCAATTTTTTGCTACCACACAAAAAAGCTGCTATAAATATTTTTGTACATGTGGATCCTTTTCCTGTTTTTATGATCTCTTTGGGATACTTGCTCGTCATTTCTTATAGCATAATAGTATTCTATTACATTCATATAAAAAGAGCTGCTATACATATTTTTGTACACATAGGTCCTTTTCCCTTTTTTGTGCTCTCTTTGGGCTACAAACCTACTAGTGGTATTGCTGGATCAAAGGGTATGCACAATTTTATGGCTCTTTGGGCATAGTTCCAAATTGCTCTCCAGAATGGTTGCATCAGTCCCAATTTTTCCACATTCTTTTTAATATTTATCATTTTCCTTTTCTGTCATGTTAACTTTAATTCCAGCTTTTGATTCGTCTAGCCTGGCATTTCACTTGATGTATTCTGCAAAAAAGTTAATTAGATAAGGTGACAATATACAGCCTTGTCCTACTCCTTTTGCAACCCTAACCCAATCAGTTGTTCCATGCTGGTTCTGACTGCCGTCTTGGCCTGCATACAGGTTCCTCAGGAAACAAACAAGATGATCTGGTACTCCCATCTCTTTGAAGACTTTCCACATTTTGTTGCGATCCACACAGTCAAAGGCTTTAGTGTAGCCAGTGAAGCAGAAGTAGATGTTTTTTCTGAAACTCCCTTGCTTTCTCCATAATCCAATGAATGTTGGCAATTGGTCTCTAGTTCCTCTGCCTCTTTGAAAATCAGCCTGTTCTTCTGGTAAATTCTCAGTATTACTGAAGCCTAGCTTGTAGAATCTTAAGTGTAACCTTGCTGGCATGTGAAATGAGTACAATTGATTATTTGAACATTTCTTGCATTGCCCTTCTTTAGGATTGGGACACAAATTGATCTTTCCCAATCCAGTGGTCCCTGTTGAGTTTTCCAGATTTGCTGGCAGAATTTTAATAACATCATCATTTAGAATTTTAAATAGCTCGGGTGGAATTCCATCACCTCCACTATCCTTATTGTTAGCAATGCTTCCTAAGACTAACGTGACTTTGTTTCCAAGATATATGGCTGTAGATCAGTAACCACACTACATGGTTATCAGTGATGTTTAGATCTTTCTTACATAGTTCTTTCATGTATTCTTGCCGCCTTTTCTTAATCCCTTATACTGTTAGACAATTAATTGAATAGTGTGGACCCTAAAGGGGAGAAGAAATTGCTGAATTATGATGGTAGAGGAAGGAGTCTAGAAATGGCAGCAGAGAGTAAGAAGTATTCCAACTCCCTCACTAGAAGTAGTGGATTGGAAGCTCAGTGAGGGATGGGAAGTGATATGAGTTTGTATTTTTACTTTGTAAAGTTCCTTACAGTTTTACTAAATCTTTTTTTTTTTTTACTAAATCGCTAGATGACAAAGGAAAACACGTTTTTTTGTTTTGTTTTGTTTTTCTTAAGAGTTGATTTTCACTATTCAGCCATATCTGTTAGATCTAACTTTATCTTGTTCATTTAAGAAAGTATAAGTCATAGTCCCTTATAACCTCCCATTTGTGCCCAGAAAGGGAAATCATTCATGTCAGTCTCTGAGAATTTATGAAGTGAAATTTCACCTAAAATAATTTATCAATTGACCTTTGTTTATATGAATATAAAAATACTAACACTGCTCTAAATTAAGCACTTTTTTGCCCAGGAAAGGCAAGAGAATGTCCAGAAGATTGTATTAGAAGGAACAGAAAGAATGGAAGATCAGGTAAGAAGAATGTATATACCATCAAATGCTAGTGTTACTAAAGAGTTTGTGTGTGGGGAAGGGGGGTGGGGTGCTGCTGGTTCTTTTGATTGACCTAATTAATAGTAAATTTAATTAGTGAGCTTAAAGGAATCATAAAAGAACCTTGGTGGGGAAAAAAATTAAGCAATTTCTACAAAACTAAAGGAATCTATCCAATCATTTTACCCATAAAGTGGAATCTAAGACATAGATCAAGAGTGGGGAGGGGTGGGACAATCAGTATGGGAATAATATCAACCACAGGTGAACACTTTGCCACCTTTATTCTTCTGTTTCTGTGGGGTAAGTTTTAGATAATTTGTTCAGTGGCAGGGCCCAAATCCCCACAGCTGAGACCAATTACATTAAATGTCTGAGACATGGTAAAAGACAAATGTTTCCCTTTGGTTCAAGAGGAAGCATATTTGAAAACTCTAGCTTTGACCTGTACTAATGAGAAATGTTATCTTGAGACAGAGGATAATTTCTTCATTCTTAAAATTCATGTGATTATGTGTAAGCTTCCTTTTGTTTGTAGAAAGAATATTTTATTAGCAGCATAAAGGTCCTGGTATGAGTCCAGGCTTCACTATTTGAAATTACTGATAAAAAGATTTACAGATTATGCTGTCTTTTAGCTTCCGTAGCTATAAAATGTGAAAAGCAGTAGATGTCCTTTTAATTAATTTTTTATATCTCAAGTAATAAATTAGAAATATTAATTTTAAACCAGGCTGTTCATATAATGACGTTTGGCAGTGTATGATAAGCCATAGTTGGCAGGGTGTGACAAATTTAGTTGCTGGAAAAATTAAAATATCTTCGATTAGCACATAAACCTTTAAAAACCTTGAGTGGGAAGCTCATTTTATTTGGCTCTTTTTAATGTTGTCAAGCATTTCTACCAAATGAAAGCATTGTTTTTTGTATTCCTGCTATCTCACCATCCTAGAAAACCTCATTTATCCCTTGCTTTCATTGTTAGTAGTTTCATTACCAAGATCTTCCTGTTTTGCGTGTCTTTTTTGACCTCATTTTACTTTATTGTGTAGGGTCAGAGCATTATTCCAATGCTCACTGGAGAGGTTATTCTTGTAATGGAACTCCTTTCATCTATGAAATCACACAGTGTTCCCGAGGAAATAGATGTAAGTTCATATTTGTATTGTGAAGTCAAAGCGGTGGTACCTTTTCATATTTAGCAAACCTTTTAATTAACAAATACCGATGATAGACTATTAACATTAAGCAGTATCTTTGTAAGGAGAAAAGTCTCTAGCAATTAAATTGACCAATGTAAATTAATCATTTTTGTATTATATTAGATATATTAACTTTACCACTCATACTTTCTGGGAACACAAAAGTTCTAATAATATAATACTTGTTTTTATAATGATAGTGTACAATTCAGATATTATGTTAGAGTTCACTTGTGGACTTTATGGTATATATAGACAGACATTTGTAGTGTCCTTTAGTAATTAGGATAAATCAGCCACTTTGGTTATTGTTCAGAGTCTACATTAAGCACTTTTCAGTTTAAATCTGTGCAGATGATTTTTATCTGAATCTTCTTAGTTAGCAGATTTTTGTTCTCAAATTTCGGAGTATCTTTTAAGCTTTTAAAGAGTAGTAATTTCAGAATCTTTGGTTGGTTAGTGCAGTACCACTAAGAAGCCAAACAGGACAGTGTGGGAACACCCATTGTTACTCTTGTTGATCTAACTCTGAGTTTTAAGGGCTGTCAGACTGTCTTTCTTTGGATGTGGTTAAGAACTGAAAGAGTCAGCTATGTTTATGGAACTTCATTTAACCTGCAGGACCAGCTTTCACAAACATGCTTCTGATTTACTGGTAAATGTAGAAGTGATTATTTCATGGC